TAGATATATATATATATATATATATATATATATATATATATATATATATATATATATATATATATATATATATATATATAGACACACACACACACACACATATATATATATATAAGATTTAAATTTATTTTACTTGATTACTTCATTTTACCTTTTTACATTTTTCATAAATGTTACATTATTAACAACTAAAATACAACATTAAAAAATAAAATACCGAAACTGGTAAACGGACGAGAACCAGACTCGAGTCGTGCCACCGAACACTAGTAACTATTACGGTTCTCCTCCCCTCGGTATCGGGAACCGGCGGTTCCGGAACAAATATTGTACCGGAGCGGCACTGTGTCCACGCTAGCCTGGAGTGTCTATGGTTGCGTTCTGTTCGCCAGATCTAATATGATATGATTTTTTGAAGGTTTGGCTTGATATGATATACTCCGTATATAATTTAATTTGATCTAATCTAATAAGATTTGATTTAATTGAATCTGATTCGATTGTAGTTATATTTAAAGTTGTTTATGATCTATTCTGATTTGATCTGATTAAATTTGATTTAATTTTAATAAGAATAAATGATAAGATGAAAAAATAAGTTGTGTGGAACGAACTCTAAGCCAATTTCAAAGAATGCAGGCTCATCATAGTATAATTTTACTCCCTCCGTCCTAATTTTACTATTTACACTGTCAAATTTTAATCGTTTTCTTTACCTATTTTCGTTAGTTATTTGATAAAATAATATAGTCTTATCATCTTTGTTTTGTAGAATATTTAATGTAGTCTTTAAATATATAATTTTAATTTTTTGATTTTACCTTTATAATAAATAAATTGAATTAAAAATAAACTCAGACAAACATCGTAAACCGAATTGGAAAAATCTTTTAGAACGAACGGAGTAAATTTAAATTTTTAAAATGTCATCTTATTTAAAATTAGGAAAAGTACATATTAAGTCTGGATACAGTGAATTCGGTGGGATGACTTTCCCTCGGACAAAAGAGATCAAAATTTTCCTTGTTTTCAATAAAATTACCTCCTCCTAGTCAAAATTTAATTTTCATTTATTTTTCATGAACATTGTCTAGAACTGGTTAAGAAGATGTGAAATTTGCACTAAATAAGACTAAAACATAATGACTTTTCAAATGTAGAACTTAAACTTTTTTATTCCCTAAATAAGACTTAATAATGACCTAGTGGAAGGAATAATGTCCAGTAGTGATGGACATTTAGTTGAATAATAACTACTTGATAATGACCAAAGATCCTACATTGGAAAATAAAAACATATGGTCCTATATTGGGAAAGTCATTATGTTTTAGTCCTATTTATGTAAATTACCCAAGAAGATATGAAAGAAATTCTTAACAAAAAAAATCTTTACTTTACAATGAAATGAATTATTAACGACGTAGTGAGTTTATTACAAGGCCGGCCTCGAAAAATGAAAAAATATTTCACACTTTTAAATATTTAAAAAAGCTATTATTATACGGAGTGGGTTTTATCTATAGTCCGTCCATACCCAGCTATTATTTTAGGGAAATGACCTAAGTTTTAATACTATTTAGTGTAAATATTTCAGGATAAAAAGGTATATCATAGGTTTTATCTTTCTCCAGACAAATATATTACGGAGTAATATCTAGACCTATATATTTTTCTGCATTACTTGTTTATAAAGTTTATAAGATTTGTAAACTATGATAATACTTTTTTAATGTGTAAAAAGATTTTTGTTATACGTCATTTGAGAATTAGTAAAGATATTTTTATAAAAACGTTCAAACTATTTTTATGAGTTTCCTTTGTACAAATTTTTTATGCTTACATTTAAAAAAAAAAGTTAGAGTAGGACACCCCCAACCGTTCCGAATAGTTCTAGTCCTAAAACAAATAGAACAAAGTAGGACAATGTTCCGACCCGTTTCTATAAATCGAGACTGTGACCGGGACTACTAAAAATTCGAATCACCCCAACTCGTGCCCACCTCTACCCCCACCCATTGCAGAATCCGCATCTTGTGAGCATGTAGTTGACATACGTGGGTTTTCTTCATGACTACCCAGGCACCCAGCACTCAGCACCATACAACATAACCGGTCTTACTACGATTCGATAGTACTTACTTTTCATCGTACTCGAAATCTTCATATTGCATAGATACCTTGAAGCGAACATCCACTTTGCCCAATCCATCTGAGTACGGTGCACATGCAACACTCTCGTCCAATTAACTCCCATTCGCTTGAATGGCCGAATCAAGTTATTGAAACTTGTTACCCTTGGCACATGGCGACGGTCAATCTTAACTTACACTGATTTTGTCATCTAGCCACTAAAGCTCCAAGTCTCCAGCTTGTCATTTAGAGCTGGTATAACTTCAACTTATTTTTATTACTTACTCCCTCCGTCCCTTTAAACATGGGATGTTTTGATTTTGAAGAGATTTAAAGAAAGTGTATTTTGGTATTGCATTTCCAAAAATGTCCTTTGATGTGATGGGTAAAAGTAGGATTTGATGGGTAGATTATTAGTAAAAAGGTATAATGTGATAGGTATGGTATGAAAAAGTAAGGGGTAAAAATGACTTTTTTAATAGAAATAAGAAGTGTTTTTGGGGCGGATGAAAAAATAAAGAAGAAAGATTTTCGGGGACGAAGAGAGTATTATTTTTTTTCTTATTGAAATTCGTTCAGATCAAACTAGATCGATCAGAAATAACTTTGAGTATATCAACATTCAAATCAAATCAGATCAAAATTTATTCTAATAAAAAGAATCACTTAGATCAAGTAAAGACAATAAGTCCTTACTCCCACAAAGCTTAAAGCTTAAGAGAGAGGGAATATAACATGATATCGAAAATGAGTGTCTTTTAAACTTAGCCCGAATAATTAAAAGATAATTTTTGTGGGGACGAGTATTAATGATAATTAATGAGATTATGCCATGGAGGAGCTGTAATTAATCCCGAAGCTCATTAATTAATCTCTCTAGAAGGAGGAGGAGAGAGATAGAGCGGGGATCGGAGATCGGAGATGGAAAATCACTTCTCAAAATACTCCGTCCTCGTCTTAGTCCTATTACTGATTTCCCAGAATATACTCAATCAAACAGCCGACGGGAGAGATCTCCGGCCGTCAGAGCACGGCCTAGCCGATCAGGAATCCACCTCGAAGTCCCCCGGAGCCGGAAACTCGTCGTCGTCGGGGATGCTCGCCTTCTTCGGCGTCTCGCCGGCGTCTGTGGAATTGCCTGCCGGGAGGAATTTCACGGCGTCGTGGATGAGCGCCGGTGCCAGCGGCAGAAGTATCACGCGCGATGGGAAGACGGAGGACCCGATAAGAGAGGGATTGTTTGTGGGCAGTTTGGTCTGTGGACTCGCCGGCGTCGTTCTGGTCGCCGTCTCCGCTGCCTTGCTACTAATTGTCCGGTTCCGGAAGCAGAGACGAAAGGACGTCGTCTTGTGAGGCTTACGTCGCCAACAAGTAGGGGTGTAAACGAACCGAATCGAAACGAATACCGATATATTTGAATTTGTATTTGTTTAATTTTTTCGAATACGAATCTGAATCCGAATATGAGACGAATTCAAAATAAGATTTGAATAAGTATTAGATTAATATTCGAATAGTTATCGAATCATAAACGAATATTTGAATAAGCATACTATGTAATTTATATGATGGACCAACATCAATTTGTAATTTAACTTACGATACTCTTTATACTATACTATATTCCGTATATAAAAACATTAATGCATCTGCATCTTACACAAATTATATTTTATAAAATATAACTATTAAAAATCATATGCTTTAGATTTTCGTGTTACGTTAATTTATTGAATTCTTAGTATTTTAAATACACTTTATACTATATTACTTTGTTTGACTTTTGATGTTGAAAACATGGTCTGTGTATATATACATATATTCGAATATTCGAATATCATCCGAATCGAATATATCCTTATTTGAATTTGAATTTGTATTTGAATAACGCGAATTCGAATCATCATATTCGAATACAAATCGCGAATCGAATTTAAAATATTTGATTTGTTTACATCCCTACCAACAAGCATGAGGAAGTTTCTTCAAGAAAAGAATAAAATGAAAAGAAAACAAAAGAAAAATGTCCTCGAAAAAGTGTATCTAATTGTACCCGAGTGTATGGTAATAATTTTAAGTTTATTCTTTTCTTGAACAAACTTCCTTTTCCTCCTTTCCTTTAAACACTTCATATTTTGACTTTAGGCCAAAATAAAGAAAATACTCCCTCCGTCCCTAAATAAACTTCTCCTTTCGTTTTTTCTTTGTTCCCAAATAAACTTCTCTTTTCCCTTAAAAAACCCCTTTTACCCCTTACTTTTTCATACACTACCTATCACATCATACCTTTTTACTAATAATCTACCTATCACATCTTACTTTTGCACATCACATCAAGGGTATTTTTAGAAAGTCAACACAAAAATATCCCTCCCTTAAATCCTCAAAAAGTCAAAAATGAAACTTTATTTAGGGACGGAGGGAGTATAATTTTGGTTAACTTTCTAATTTTGTCCTTGATGTGATGGGTAAAATAAGATGTGATAGTTTGGTTATTAGAGAAAAAGTATGATATGATAGGTAGGGTATGAAAAAATAGGGGTAAAAGTGATTTTTTAATATAAAGTGGAAATATTTTAGGGAATTCGAAAAAAAACAAAAGGAGAAGGATTTTATGAAATGGAGAGAGTACCTTTTAAAAATTATAGTGATCATTTATATTATAATACAATCAATAATTTTTATTCTAAAACTATTAGATTTATGAAATGAAAATAATCAATTCATATATGCATTAAAATATTTAATCAATTATTTTTTAATATTCAAAATAGAGAAGATAGAGTGTTAATTCTTATTATTAAAATATCTAATCATTAGAAAATATGAATGTTATGCTACAAAATATTAAATTTTTTTGCATCTAACTTACTAAATTTATACTACTCTCTTCGAGTCTTCGTTGACCATAACGATTTCTACTTTGACTAATGGGTGTTATAATTTTTGTACGGATTACAACGGACGGGAAAGATGAACGGCCCCGATAATAAAAATAAATTAAATTCTGAATTTATAACTTATTCAGAATATTACAAAATAAAAAAGAATAGAAATTAAATTTCTATATCTTCTAAAAAAGTCTCGTTGTATGAGGACAGTATACACTGGACAACGAGGTCATTATGCACTAGACAGCAAGGTCATTATGCACTAGACAGCAAGGACGTCATGCACTGGGCTGCAAGGACATTATGCACTGGACATCAAGGACATTATGTCCTAGGGCAGAATGCAGCGAGGTCTTTATGAGCTGTACCTGCAAAAACAAAACACCGTGGAAGGACAGCGGAGTCGCCGGAGCTGTCCTTAAGGTAGTACTGCCCGCCTAGCGTACCGGAAAAACGTGGGCACTCTCCTCCCAGGATAAAACCGCTATCGTGTGTGGAGATTGTACGGATCAACCACACACCAACGAACAAGAACAACGTAGGAACGTTGGCGACCAAAAAAACTTTAAAGGGGATGGCCGGAAATTTGGCCGGAAAACCAAGAGCTCTCTCAAAAAATAAACAAGAAAGATTTTCTTTCTTTTTCTTTTTGTTTCTCACGTGAAGCACATAAGGAAAATGGAGAGGAGCCATTTGATTTTATAACTAAGGTGTTTAAAATGTGTAACTCCTACACCATTAACCCTTAGAATTAATCATGGCATTTGTGGCACACTTAATACCGTGTTAATGGTGATTAATTAGCCATTAACACGTCCGTTACGCTACGCTCC